ACAGCCAGAACCGCTACGGTCAAGGATTGGATGCGATGCTGGCTCATAAGCTGCTGACGTCAATCGCATTGGACGGATGGGCATATTCAGAAGCGAAGGGGTACGCGTTTGAGGTGAGCAGGGATCCCGCCAAGCTCAAGCTGCAGTTGGACTTCCAAGACGAGCTGCACTCATCATCGGACGGAATGCTGCCGAAGAAGCAGAAACAGAACGTGAAGATCTTAACGGTTGGAGGTTCCCACACCATCGCAACCGTCTCAATCGTGAAGAACGGTGCCAAGATGTGCGAGGGTGTGAGCCACGAGCTGGCCAACAGCGAGGGCTACATCTGCAAGGACAAAGTTCTATCCAAGTGCGGGTCCTCCAAGCAACCGCTCGAGAAGGGCATGCCCTTCACAGTGGTTCGGGCCTGCGTGGAGGACGCCTGCCCGCGCCTGCCGTGGTTCCTGCAGGACGCGATGAACAAGAGCCACAAGGCGACCCAGGAAGGGGCGCCATGAGTCAACTGCGCACCAAGCCCTCGACCCCATCAAACGTTTTGGTCATGTTTTGTGGTGTGGGGTTTAGGGGGCTCCGAAATGCGCAGCTGGTTCAGGCGAGCCCTTGAGGAAGTCACGTTCGTGTCCACGCTCATGCAGATTTTCAACATCGCCAAACTTCGCACGGCCTGCAACGCGGAGATCGATTGGGACCAGATCGCGAGAGACGTAGCAGAAGACAGGCCGAAACTCGCGAACGTGGCACACTACCTTTGCAAGTACGTGCAAAACTGGGCAGGAGGTGATACTGGACATCTGCTGGCGGACTTGAACGATTTCTGGTCGTCTTTGACATTGCGCCGTGAAGTACACGAGGTCACATGGAAACTCATGAGCGATCTGAGCTTCCTCGAGGGCCCCGACTATGTGAACGCGCTGATGAAAGCAATCGTCACGGCGCCCGAATCGTTCTGCAGCAATGGTTACAGCAAGTTGATCAACGGTGGCGACGTCGCCGACATCAATGGCAAGAAGAGGATTGAGTGCGTCACCGCGTGCCTGTGCTTCGAGCACGCGAGGGCCTACCTGGATCAGATCAGCATGCTGACCCAGGCCGAGAAGGTCAAGGTGCTAGGAGATTTCCAGATCAGGACCGTCTGCACCATCCACGGCAAGAAGGCGAAGACGAGGAAGAACTACGACAACATCGAGGCGGTGAAGCAGGCCTTCTTGCTGGACGTCAGCGCCATAATCGGCACGGCCGCGATGGCATCCATCAGGCCGCCCTGGGAGTTCAAGCCCAAGCAGGTTGCAGAGGAGTCGACGGGCTTGCGGCAGTTCGATGGCAAGGGCTTGAACATGACTGCGCTCCAGCAGTTGGGCTTCGGCATTGGCTCGAAGGTTTACGAGGGCAGCGACCCCGAGACAGCCTACACCATCATGGAGTTCGTGGACGGCGTGGCCAAGCTGCAGGAGGACGACGGCGACGACGGGGTGCAGGGCAGCGTCATCGAGGTTCCGTTCGGCAAGCTGGCAGACACGTACCAGGTTGGGCGATATACAATTGAAATCCTCGTCCTCATCTTAATCAACCTCCTCCTCCTCCCTCCTCCTCATCCTCCTTCTGACTGGGAGCCCATGGATCCTTCCTTTTGTGTAGGGCTGGCGGAAAAAACGATTGAGGAAGAGCCATGGGGATCAAAAATCCGCGAGCTTTGCCATCCCTCCCAAAACTCTATGTTAGCAATGGTTTGCATCGCTTTATCTCGTCACTTGTTTTTGTGATGGGTCGGCGGAATGCGACAATAATCCCGTATGAAATCCCAGCTTGCCACGAAACAGATGTAAAGTGATCCGTCTTAGCATCAAGCTCGAAACATCAACCGATGGGTGGAAGGACGGATCGGGGAGGAGTGGGAGGGGGGAGGTCGGCGGAGAAGGAGGGGGCGGGAACGGGTGGCGGACAGTGGACATTACTGAGAGTAAACATCGCGCCCGAGCCCAGGTCTCCGCCGACGACAAGACAATCGTCCTCAAGTGCGAGGCGATTGCCAACCCTCTGGACCGTACTCCCTTGGCGGCGTCATCCTCCTTCTCTTCGCCATCGACCCTTCCTACTCCTCACCCTCCTCTTCGTCTGGTCGTTCTTTCTCCTCCCGTGTTCAACAGCTGTGCTCGTCCTCGTCATCGTCCTCCCTTCCTCTCCTTTTGAATCCTCTCTTACTTTCTTTCTCCACTCCTCGTTCCCCCTACCTCTCCCTCCCTTGTTTTGGAGGGGGATACGGGGCACCTGAGGATGCGAAGGGCGCGCAAGGAGGAGGAGAAGGAGGAGTAGGAGGATACAGAGCTGGAGGAGGGAAGTGATGATGATGGCGGTTGCTTCCCCCCCTGACCCGCGCCGCGCTCAGGACCACGACGCGTGGTTGTTGGAGGAGGCGCGCTCTCTTGTGCGGGTGGGCCTTCGTCAAGCGTTCGTGCAGACGCACGACCCATCCCTCGAGCTCCGATTCACTCGTGAACCCAAGGTAGTTGTCGAGGGCGTCTTTGCAACCCAGGATTATGACAAAGGTGGTCTGACTCTCTCGCCTTTCTCGCCAGTGGTAGCATCAGGTGATAAGGTCCCCTGGGCTGGCATTCCGATCGACACTTGCAAGTTGTTTCCAGGGAAGCCGTGTGACCACCCAAAGCTGTGGATCGCAGGGAAGCTCGACCTCCCGAAGTCCGAGGGCGCCCCGTCGGCAGCGAAACTTGTCAAACCATTTGTTGTACCGTTCTGGGTTTGCCAGGCAGCGAGGGACTCGTCCGAGTCCAATCTGAAGTGGGTAGGCGTTGCAATGTGGGTCACTGCTCCGCTTACAGACGGCATCCAGCATGTCGTGCGCTTGAAAGACACCTCGGCCAACAAGCGTGGGGTGCTCGTCACAATCCCTGTGCTGACCAACAGTAAAGCGATTAAGGCAGGCGATCAGTTGCTCAAGTCACCGCTAGCCCTCCAGCCAAATGTTATGCCAGCAAAGCGGTCCCATGATGAGGATCTGGGATCGCCGCCTGCCAAGAAGACCTGCCCCTCGCCCAAAGCCGACGCCGCCCCAAAAGCCAAGGCCAAGGGCCGTGGCAGGGGTGGCCGTGGCGGGGGCAGGGGAAGGAAGGCGTGAACGGTAGAGCAGGTGACATCTCACGAGCAGTGTAGCCCAAGCGTGATGTGTAATGCCAGCTGCACAGTCAATCGCTTCTGCAAGCGACGCGTAACACAGTCGGCAGCGGCTCCTTTCCGTGCGAGTTAGGTTGATTCGGCGATTGAGGGACATTCCATGCATCTCACCGCTCGCAAAGAAGCTCAAAACATACAACCCCTGAGTTACGTGAGCCATCCTGTTTCTGGCACCGTGGTAATGATGATGAGAAGGAGGATGAGGAGACGAAGGAGGAGGAGGAGGAGGAGGAGGAGGAGGAGGAGGAGGAGGAGGAAGAGGTCAGGAACCAACAGAAACTGCAATGCACTCCATGGTAGAAAACAACGCTCTTGACACCGCCAGGAACTGAATGAAAATCGCCTGGATGTCAGGCGTCGGGTCAATACTAAAACGATATAGCACTGGGGAGCTTTCGAACGAAGTGAAGGATGCGGCATGGGTGGAGGGAGGGTTGAGAAGGGGATGTCTTTCGGGCGACTCTCGGATACCCTTCGAGACCTGGGCGGTGGTACCCCAGCCACGCGCCCTCCATAACAAATCCTCCACATCCCTCCATAACAATCCTCCGCATCCCTCCTCACTCCATCCTCCGCACCCCTCCTCATTCATCCCTCCGATGCCGTTGAAGCCGGCCTTTTTTGGCCTTTCCAGAATTGGTTGTGCAACCTTCCTCGGTGCCCTGCGGCTGCTTCTGCTCTACCCTCGTCTTGACCATAGCCGTCTTAGCGACGTATCGTCAGAGTTGGTGCAGAGGTTGTTGACTTTGGGGCGCGCAATGCCACTGACACTCGACACTGGCTATGCTCTCATTTCTGCGTCGGCCAATCCTCAGCCGAACAATTCCTATGTGGTGAAGGCTCTGCAGATCGCGAACACTCCATGCGTTCCGATCGTCAGGACGGACCCCAAGCTTAAGAAGACGATCGGATCATTAGATATGGTCGACTACCTTACAAAGAAGCGCAATAGACTCGTGGAGGACAGTCGGGTGCAGTCCGCAGCGGCAGTGGACCCCATGGCACAGCCTGCAGGTAACGGACCTGACGGAGGTCATCGGTCGAAGAAGTCCAAGCGCGACACCGTGGACCCAAGTTCGAGTGGCACCTACCGCCAGCGAGAGGAACAATCTCGTCGTTGACTTTTCGGCCAGTGCAATGGATTTGCTCTCTAAGAAGCCGCTGCTTCACGTCGAAGACCATGCCGATGCTTACCCGACCCTCGATTTCGATGTGACGCCAAATGTACAATGGCTGTCAAAACGGTTTGCGCTTGTGACGCATTACTACAACGGTGTCAAGTGGGCGACCAAAGAGATGAAAGTATCACTCACCCCCACAGACACTGACATCGATGATGCATTCAAGAGGGTTGCTGAATCGCTCCAGGCGTTCTACGACCGTTCTCACGTTGAGCCGAAGTAGCCCCACGCCTTGCATGTGTGGCTGATGCGCAGTGTGTCGTATCGACGAGCATAGGGTATTCATGTGCTGAGGGTTCGGACGGCTAGTCTCGTGCGAAGCACGGCCAGCAACGGCGCAAGAACGTTGTAACCGATTGAGGTGAGTGGTGCAACGTCAGATTGCGTCGGTACTCACGCATGCATGGCCGATCAATTTGCTGAAAATATCGTTGACCATACTCCCATTTTACAGTCAATCTGCTTGCCGACGTCTCGTGAGAACGGCACGGTACCCCCACCCTCGTACGAACGACTGGCTGGAGAAGCTGATGCCCGAGATCCTACCTGGCATCTCGAGCAAATGCCCGAGATGCCACCTAGCGCCTGGAGCATCGCCCTCTTAATGATTTCAATTAGGGCTCAATGCCTGAGATGCTCCCTGGCATCTGGAGCATTTGCCCGAGATGCTAGGTAGGATCTCGGGCATCAGGTGTCCGGAGCGTGCCGAAAGGGTACCGATGCAAAACATCATGATTGTCAGCCTCTGTGGGGCTCCCACGCTCCTCAACGAAAGATTAGACTCTTGCACTGAAGGGGCATCGTGAATCCATAGGTGGAGCATTGCGCACGTAGACATTCTCGTCGATCTGGGCTCAATCTCTCCTCAAATTTGCAGTGCCAGCGTGACAACTGGACGTCCATATGCAGCCCATCCAGCCCCAAGGTGCTCACCATGCGCATACATCGAGACACCACGGTGTCAAATTTGAAGCCATCGGGGCCACTGTCTGAAACAGCGTCCTCCGTAGCACATGCTTTTGGCTCAATTTATTTTGGCTTGTGCTTATCACGCGAGATCGCTTCGGTGGGGATGTCTGCTGGTTCGAGCGGCAGCGCTGATGATGCCATCATCGGTGCTTTGAGGGCGCGCGCTAGCTTCCTGGAGGCACAGTCGAAGGCGGGCGTGGATGTGGGTGCCTTGAGGGCGCGCCAAGTCAAGGCGTTGATCTCCTTGATCTCTGGAGCTACTGGCTTAACCATCGACATGGGCACGCAGGTCTGCGGCGAGATCAACAATGGCCCTTGGTCTGGCACTGAGAAAGTTGAGCTGTGCACCGCGGTAGACGATGCCGTGAGTTCGCCAGGGGCGGCGAGCAGTAGCCGCGACCAGCAGCACTGCGACTACCTGGAGCGCTACCTCACAAAGTCGGACTGGGACGTGGTGACAGACCAATCCTCGTCGGAGGTCCCCAAGCTGGCCGTCATAGCCGACCGCATGGCGAAGCTGGGCATGTACTGCCCCGCGGAGTCGGTCAAGAAGCGCGTTGCTGCCATCATGCTCATCAAGGGCGTGCAGCGCGTTCCCGACAGCGCCACCTTGAGCGATTGGATGGACAGGGTTCAATCGAGAGTTAAGCTTTTGGATCCAGGCGCTGGCAAGTGGCCCTTCGGGTACATCACCAGGTATCCTGATTCACCGAGTGGTCTGCCTCCAGCGGTCTTGAACCACGCCTACGGCGAAGAACTCCCCATGACCCTTCACGACTGGGACATCTTGCGCAAGGAGTCGATCATCAAGACCGTCGGCACCAGGAAGAACCATACCAGCTTGAGGCCAATCTCGGGTATCTCATCTGCAGAAGTGCCGCACAAACCACACGTTCCGACGCTCAACCTGGACAGCGGCAACGGCAAGACCACTATGGGCGGATTCCACGACATGGCGATGCTGGCTGGCGGTTTCATGCAAAGCATGATGGCTTTCATGCAACACGGTGGCTCTAGCGGGGCACCGAGCGGCAAAGGTTACTCCATGCAGATGTGCGACCACGTGCTCGGGGGCAAGGGCAGCGGCTACGACGCCACCAGCTACTACGACATGAGTTGGGGCAAGGGCGGCAAGGGCGGGAACCCGTTCGCGTCTTTTGCGCCGCAGCCTCCGCCCTCCCACGCTT